CGCTAGGCCGGGAGACGGTGGCTCGGAGCGCCGGCTCCCGTGCGCTGTCCCACGGGAGGCCTCGCCACTACCTGCGCACAAGGTTGTCCCGGTCCGCGCTGCTGCCCCGCCTCTCGGTCAGCATCAGGTGCCAGAAGAACCTCTCGTGGTTGAAGATCAGAGCGACCCCTCTCCGCCTGTGGTCCATCCTGTACTCTTCCGCTGGGTCCAACATCTCTCTGCCAAGGGAAAGTGCGAAAGACCATCACTTTGGGGCCAGAAGGTGGTTTGGTGGTTAAGGCACCGGACCATGGTTGAGTCCCAAAGCCAGTGGCTTAAAAAGATCACACCTGGTGTGTGTGTGCCCCAAATCCCGACAGAGCAGAGAAGGGCTGCGGAGTGGCCATCCCCCAGAGGGTAACTTCTCTTCCCCTCCCTCTCTCTCCCTAGCAAGTACACATGCCCTAGGGCAAAAATCTAAAACTAAAACCATGTCTCTGGGTCAAGAGAGGAGCCCTGGCCGCAACTGACTGGACTCAGAGCTCCGGCTGCCCTCTCACCGCCCACACGGTCAAGCTGACTGCCCCGGCGTGGCCTGCAGAAGGCATGCCGGGAGGCCCCTGGAACACCTCAGCACTTAGGGCACGGGCCATCAGGGCACCCAACCCTCGCTTAGGCCTTGCACCCTGGGATCCAGAGAGCCCCGCATGCCGGACCCTGGCACGCTGGCTCGGTCCAGCCCAGGCCCCTTCCCCCTTTGTTGTCTTTCTTCGCTTGCAGAGGACGTGCACTCGCCAGAGAGCGCGGCAGAGGAAGAGCGCACCCCTCCGCGGCGAGCCTTCTCCATGGAAGGCACTGCACCCTCCTTCGCTCCATCATGCCTTGACTGGGGTGTGGGCTCCCGCTTGGACCCGCAGAGCTTCTATGTGACAGGGCACACCTCACCTTTTGTAGAAGGCATCTGTTTCTGTCACATTTTGTTCCCCATCTGTTAAAAAAAAAGTTGATTTTTGTTATTCAGTTGGCTTTTCGTTGATGGCCATCAGCAGGAACGCCATGTGCTTCCAGACTGCCCAGGAATAACCCAGCACGGCTCAGCACTCCCCCAGCTCCACCTGCAGGAGGACAGCAGCCGGGAAGCCCCTCACACCCCCACTGCAAAGGCCTGCAGAGCCGGCCCTGGGCTTCCAGGCCAGAGGGGACCTGCTGTTCAGAGTTACCTTCTGCAGGTGTTCTCTGAAACAGGGAGGGCCTGCCAGGCGCTGAGCTGATGTCCAGTGTGTGCTGCCCCCTCCCTCCAGCTGGAGCATGGCAGCTCACGGTGGGTCTCCTGAGGGCCACACCTGCACTCACCACCCATACTCCCTGAGACTCCCTGCCCAGCTCCTCCGCCACCTTTCAGGACCCCATCTCAGGGCAGTCTGTATGACGCTGTGTTCGCTCCCTCCCCCCTTCCTGCAGAGTGTGTGCAGGGTGGGGGCACAGGACCGGTAATGTGGCCTAGCCGCTCCACTGGACACACGTGCACCACCCGCTCCAGGGGTGTGTTTCAAGCCTGGGCAGGTCTCACACCCCCTATGGCCCGGGATCCAGCTCCCTTAGCCACTAGGCGGCCAAACCTGACTTGGCCTCTCCTCCTTCCACCCTAGTTTGCAAACTCCAGATTTTACTGGCGGTTCCAGTGTGGAGGCCTGGCGCTGCCACCCCTTATCTCGCAGCAGCTCCGCGGCCCTGGGGCGGGGACAGGAAGTGGCTGGGATCGTGCAAGGTCCAGGGTGGGAAGACCGCGCTCCCGGCCCGCGCCCCTCCCTCCCACCAAGCAGTGTTTCCTCCTCCAGGCTGCCTTCACGGCAGACCCAGGGAAGCCCGGCTGCACTCGCGGCCCACAGCTGCGGCGGCCTGGAGAGGAGCGGGTGGGGACAGAAACGCAGAACGAGCAAGCAAGTTCGGGAGAAAGGGACAGGGGTGCAGCGCCCAGCGGCTTTTACAGCCTTCGTCTGGGCCAGCCTCCCCGCCGCA